TAGCCATATTACTGGTAATATTACCTCGATATTACACATTTTTCTAGTATTATGACGTCACAGCTTGAAAATTGGCTCAATATTACCAATATTATTTGTAATATTCAATATTCCTCCGTACACGGCCAAAGAGAGTTGACGACCCCTCGGCCTGGGCGCTGAAAGACAAAGAGCAATATTCCGCAATATTGTTACAAATTAAAAACGTTTTGTGGCAAACGTTCGACAATTTTGTAAACGAGGATCGTACCAGGTGTTTCGGTGCACGCTCCGACGCGGGCATAGGTTTGCCTACTGCAGGGGGAGTGCAGAGGTAGAAGTAGGCTAACTCACCGGCACCGGCGGTAGGTAGGCAATTTGTCCAGAAAAAAACCCTGAAAGTAGGCAAACCACAGCAAACCGCCCCCTCCTGGTGCACAAGAAGTTCATCGGCTGAGCAATAGCGAAGCCTATTACTCTGTCTGCTCTGGAAACCCAAGTGTGTACTACATTCATGTAAGAGATCCTGTGTACTTGGAAAGAATGCAGGAGGTAGTGTGTACTTGGTCAAGTACACTCTAAAACCTCCATCCATTTATGCAGGAGATTTAGTGTGTACTTGACCAAGATTTTACACACTACCTCCTGCATACTTGATCAAATACACACTACATCCTGCATACTTGCCAAGTACACAGGACCGCCCGCATAGAAGGTGTGCAGGAGGTATTGCATTCAAGTACACACTTGGGTTTCGAGTATGTCTGTCTGTCTGTCTGTCTGTCTGTCTGTCTGTCTGTCTGTCTGTCTGTCTGTCTGTCTGTCTGTCTGTCTGTCTGTCTGTCTGTCTGTCACGATAACTCGAGAACGAATTGAGCTAGCGACCTGGAATTTTCAGGGTCGTTTGGTGTCATAAAAATACGGATCCAGTTTGAAGATCGAATAGCTAGAAATAGAAAATAATGAGAGTAAACGAGAGGTCTTGCGGTCTTGCCCTTACCCATGTGAACTGCATGTCGTCTGCTCTCTCAGACCCCTGAAGAAGAATATTGTCTAACCATTGGACGACAGCCATTGGCCGCGGTGCAAGAGCAAAATTCTGCAAGTCGACCCCCTCCCCCCTTTCCCACCCCTCCTTCAATCATCACGAGTCACGATAATAATAACATACGTTTATAAGACTAATGGAAAATTTTCAGCAGACAAGTAGTAGTGAATCACGTGGAATTAACAAGGCATTAACAGTCGACTACTTTGGTCTTGAATCACTAAAACGAACAGGGAGAGGAGAGAAGGAAGAGGAGGGGGAGGGGATATCTCATCCGAGCTCCATTGTATGTGTTTGAATAAACTAGCCACTTGTCCGGCGCAAATGGCTCGCGTGTGGTGGTGTTGCTGTCCGCATTCTGTCAGACACATTTCAATATACTAGATTAAAACGTGACCAGTTTCGTTTGACTGTGATTTGGCCGGATTTGCCACATTTGGCACGTTTCAAGTGCTCGATGCTCCCACCCTCCCCCCCTCCTTCTTAACCAAGACCTACGCGACCTTCACATCTGAACCTCCGACGCTCCCACCCCCTC